TCCTTGCTTTTCTCAATATAGTGTAGATTTTATTCTTTTATTAAGTTATAATTTAAAATGTCTATCAGCCACATTGAAAATATGATAAAAATCAGCTATTTAAAGAATTGTGGAAGTCTGATAAGGACATTAGCCACTGAGTCTTGTGGACCTTCTCGAGTGACTCTGGCCTCAGTACCAGGAAAAACTCTGCTTCATCCCAGGAACAGGTGTGTTACCAACCTAACAGCTTCTGTAAAGTCGGAAATTAGTCATTTAGCTTTGACTGCTGGGGGACTTAGAATAATTTTTTATTTGTTTCTTGTCACTTTAGAGGATCATATGGGATGGGTTTTGGGCACTGACTTGCTTTCATCTTATTTCCTGTCACTCTTATTTCACAAATCAATGTTAAGATTTACAGCCATTACAGCATAAATGTGCATCTACCTACATTTATATATTTGCATTGATATGTAGATAGATGTGTATGGATGCACACCTGAAAGCCACATTGGGGGCTGCTGGGTCATGGGAAGGTATAAAGGTATAGAACCAGTAGGGGAAGGAAGAGAAAGGAAGGGAAAAAAGGTAGGTTGGATTTTGGGGTCATGACACCGAACGCCGAGCTAAGAGCCAGTAGTTTATCCTGAAGATTAAAGTCAATGGCAAACACTTTTAAAAACTCTGGGGCAGTCTGGGTGGCTAAGTGGTTTAGCGCTGCCTTTGGCCCAGGGTGTGATCCTGAAGTCCCAGGATCGAGTCCCGCGTCGGGCTCCCTGCATGGAGCCTGCTTCTGCCTCTGCCTGTGTCTGTGCCCCTCCCCCCCTCTGTGTCTCTCATGAGTAAATAAATAAAATCTTAAAAAAAAAAAAACCTCTGAGCAAAGCAATGACATGGAAACAGTGGTAGTTCAGAAAACTTACTGTAGAACAGTGTGCAGGATGGGTGAACAAGAGGACGTGGAGGGCCAGAGGACCAATTAGGGGCAATTTTAATAATCTAAGAGTGAGGCGATGGTGTTGTGAGTAAACTGAGAGACACCATGTTTTAGTAGAAGGGTCAAACATAATGTCTTTAGGAAAGAAAAAGTGACACGGCCAGGAAATATACCCTTTTCTTCCAACAAAGCTGGTGACAGCTAAGGAAGTATGCTATGTACTACCCACAAACTTATGGAAACAACCAAGTCCAGTTGGTCTATTATTCTGCTTCTATGGCCTAGGATTCTGACCTAGGCAGCCACAGGAGAAGCCACATCATTCCAAAAACCTCCTTCAGAAGGTAAGTTCTATTCCTTCCAGAAATTAAGCTGCTGATGATTTAAAATAACGCCTAAGTCCACACATACAAATTACAGCTGCTCTGAAAGGTCTCCTGATTTCCTGAAATAGGCTAGCACGTGAGTCCAGCAGCATGCCAATGCGGGCCCCTGACACAGAAACCTGTTGAGATGAATTTCTTAGGGTCCAAGAAAAGCAGAAAAATAATCTTCTTTTTTAAAGATCTATTTATTTATTTATTTATTTATTCAGAGAGAGAGAGAGAGAGAGAGAGAGAGAGAGAGAGAGAGAGAGAGAGGCAGAGACACAGGCAGAGGGAGAAGCAGGCTCTATGCAGGGAGCCCGACTAGGGACTCAATCCCGGGTCCCCAGGATCACACCCCGGGCTGCAGGTGGCGCTAAACCGCTGTGCCACAGGGGCTGCCCCCAAAAAATAATCTTGAAAACTTTAAACCTAGGAACTGAAGTAAATTTAATTTTGACTGAAGTAGTTTTGAATTCATAATCTTTGGGGAATGCACTAAGCTGTAGTCACCTGTGTATTACTTTTTCAAGGCAAACCAGCAATACAGAGATTTCAGGAGGGATGTTTACATCACTAAACAGGACAAAACTCTCAGATAAATAGAAACTTGAAAATATAACTGATGAACTAATTAAAATCACATTCATATTCTCATCTATATACATACCCCACTCACTTCTACTAGGAAACATTTCAGAGAAACGTGGGATAACAGAGCTGGAAGGGGCTTTAAGAGCATCCAGTTTAATTTGCTTGTGTTACATACAGTATTTGTCTTTCTCTGTCTAGCTTATTCAATTAGCATAGTGTCCCCAAGGTCCATCCATGTTCTTGCAAATGGAAAGATTCTCTTCTTTTCAATGGCTGAATAACATTCCAGGATATAGATAGAAGATATCACATCACATTTTCTTTATCCACTCATCTATGGATGGACACTTAAAGTTGTTTCCGTATCTTGGCTATTGTAAATAAGGCTGCACTGAACATGACAGTGTACATATCTTTTCGAGTTAGTGTTTTCATTTCCTTTAGATAAATATTCAGAAGCAGAATTGCTGGATCATATGGTTACTCTATTTTTAATTTTTTGAGGAACCTCCATACTGTTTGCTCTAGTGGCTATGCCACTTTGCATTCCCATCAAAACAAAACACACAAGGGTTCCCTTTTCTTCACAATCTCACCAACACTTGTTATTTCTTATCTTCTTGATTCTAGCTATCCCAACAGGTGTAAAGAGATAGAGATGGCCAACAGGTATGGGAAAAGATGCTCAACATAGTGAACATCAGGGAAATGCAAATCAAAACCACAATGAGACATGGGTCTCTTGTATGACAGATGATGGAATAAATCAGAGAGGTTGAATGACCTGCCCAAGGCCACTCAGTTTGTCAGGTACAGAATGGATTAGAATCTAGCAGAGCAATCAAGTACTTTTTCCATGTTACCATCTGGCCTATCTCTAACACAACATTTGTGATGGTTAATGTTATGTGTCAGTTTGACTGGGCCAAAGGGTGCCCAGGTATTTGGTTAAATATTATTCTGGGTATGTGTGTCAGACTGTTTTTGGATGAGATAAACGATTGGAATCAATTAGTGGGCTGTCCTCCCCAATGTGAGTGGATCTCACCCAATCAGTTGAAGGCCTGAAGAGAACAAAGACCGACCCTACCACAAGTAAGGGGGAACTCCTCCCGCCCAAATGCCTTGAAGCTGGGACACTGGTTTTTCCCTGCCTTTGGACTCAAATGGAAGGCTGGCTCTTCCTGGGTCGGACTGGGACTTCGCTGTTTGCTCTCCTGGGTCTCCTACTTATGAACTGCAGGTCTTGGGACTTCTTAGCCTCCACAATCACATGAACCAAATCCTTCAAATAAATATCCCCCCACTACTTCTTTACACACACACACACCTACCCACCCACCCACACACTCCTGTTGATGCTCTTCTCTGGAGAACACTAATACAATATTAAACTTTCAACTCAAAAGAGGAAAGAAAATGGTCCCAATGAACATGGTGGACACTGTAGATCAGCTACCCAAGAGCCATTCACAACCTTCTCTTCCCCTGTCTTCCTCTAGTTTAAAGGCTGAAAACCTAAAATGTAGTTTCTTCACCTCTCTTACAGCTAATGGTGGTCATACAACACAGTTCTGAACAATAAATTGCAGGTGGAAATCCCTAGGAGCTTCTCCTTTTAGTGCCCCTTCTTTATGTCTAGAGCTTGGACACACCAGCTGATGATGGTGATCCCATGATCCTGGGACCATGAGGACAAAAGGCACCTGCTCAGGATGGCTAAGAAGGAAGACAGAAAGATTCTGGGTCTGTGATGAGATCTAGGAGTAGTTGCTCCTGCCTTGGACTGCTTCTCTAGAATTTGTGAGACAAAGCCAGTTTTAGTCGTGTTATCTGTCACTTGAGGCTAAATCTTTTCCTAATAGACAATTCTAGCCAGATTTCAACTCTAATGAAAAACAAAAGCAAACATGACCTCAGTTTTAATAAAATACAAGCATTTATCCAAGAAATTTTTTGCGGGTCTAAATACAGATGGCATGAAGAGGCACTAAATCCAAGACCTCCCCTTCAAGGATGCTGGGGAGAAGAGACCTTGTTTCTTGCCATTTCAGAGGATGGTCTGGGGAGAAATCCCTGGGGAATATAATTCTAGCACAGGTAGTTGTTGCCAAAGGCTAATGCTAAAGTGGACTGAATCTTGGGCAGGTAGTAGCAGTGAATCCAGCTTTTCCCATTTAGCTTATTTACTTCCTTTTAATTAAAAACTAATTGTGTTCACTGATTCCTGCCTCATTAGAATGAGTGCACGGTCCCTTCTTCTGTAGTGAAAACAGCAGCCTCTCTCTATCGATGCTGGCACCAATGATTGCCAGTAGCTCTATGGTAGAGCACGAGACTCAGTCAAAAGATCTGGGCTTGGGACTCCATTCGGCCCTGTTTTGTTCATCCTCCCCTAAAGGTGTATCTCTGAACCTGAGTTCCAGTTCCTCACATACATTTATTGGCTTAAAGGACAGAGTAATTACAAAAAAATCCCCACAAATGCAAAACACTCTACGAAAGAAAAAACCTATCAGACAACTCGGTTGTGTGCAAACTAAAAGTAAATAGATTCAATGTGAGGAAAGCACATGAGTAACAGAAGAAAAGTTCATTCGTTATTATTTTTTTTAAACCTAAGTTCATTCATTATCCTTCTGGCATTTATTTTGGCTCTTCTTCCTTTCTCAGAGAGTAAAAGTTGCTAGGTAAGTGATCTCTGATTAAGTGTTAGAGTAAAAAGCCTTACAGAACAAATTCTAAGGAAATAAAAAGCTAGAAATGACTTGGTAGATTTGTCTGCAAGCAGTAGCTGTTAGCACTCTCCCCCTCACCCCCCCGCCATGCTCTAACAGTGCTCCGACCATCAATATCCTTTTCATTACATTTTTGACACCTATATTCCCTTTAGAATCTAAGCTCCCTACTTGAGATTAAGCCTCTTACGACTTCGTGGGTGATAAAAATTCAAGGAGATAAAACATGTGCCGCACAATGATTTTTTTTTTTTTTTTTTTTTTACCCACTTTGTTTCCCACTCTGCACTGAGAATCATCTCCTTTTGGACAAATGAGAGAAAAGCAAACAATTCACTGGGACGGGGCCTAGAACATGTTCCAGGCTGGTTCCACACCACATACCTTGTCTTGGGTTTCACATCGGACACAGTCACACTCAAAACAGTACTGATCCTTCAGCTGCTTCCGGCGCTCCTCGCTGGTCATCAGCATGTCCAGGTAGCAGATGGTGAGCTGGGGAGGCCAGAGAGGACAGGGTCACAGGGCTGTAGTGCTCCTCCTCCTGAACACATGCTTACCATCACTGCTGACTATTTAAGCAAAATGTGTTTCTATTGCGTACCACAAAGTGCAAGAGGAAAGAAAGATACTACTTAGAGTCTCTCTATGCAAATAATCCCATGTAAAATTTTAATGTGTTACCTTCCAGTCTTCATTGTGTCGTGAGTACATATATATTATATATCTACTTTAAAGAACTGGACTCATGACCTCTATACATTTTTACACTTTGCTTTTTATTCAACAAACAAAAGAATATCAAGAGCTGGCATGTGTTTGGTCATCCTAAGGTTGTGTAGTAAAATCTATAACTGCTGGCAATCAGAGAAGCCAGATCAATTCTGATCCACAAGGGGTGGCAGACGCTGTACCCAGATGCTCTTAAATCCTGAGCAGTCCTGCAGCCTCATGGAATTTGAGGTCCACCAAATTTGGTGTCTTTGAAGTTAGGACATTGTTTTACTTGTGACCAGGTAGATTTAATTAAAAAAAAAAAAAAAGGAATAATTTGCAACTAGGGACAAATAATGTCAGAATGTGATCCTAGGTGGAAGTTCTTAAGCTGACTCCCTTTCAAACAGTAATTATGTTGTCTTGGATGATGAAAGGTCAGGTCTCCCTGTAGCTGTCAAGTTCCACTGGGAAGTCATAGGTCTTTAGGTAACACTGTAATGTTCACATATCCCTCGCTAAACCAGATATTTGCACTGAAAGTCCAATTCAAAATACACAAGATGGCACTCCTGATTCCCCCAGCCTGTTCCATCCCTGCTGGAGCCATCCTAACCTCAGCTGACAGCAATGCATCTTCTGTGTCCTTCAAGTGGAAACCTCAAAGTCACCCTTGACTTCTCTCTCCCTTTCACATTCTCACCCAATCCACCAGGAAATTCAATGCACCCAACCTTAAAAATATATACTCCTTTCTACCTCTCCCAATGTGATCATCCTGGTCTGAGTTGCCTTTCTCTCTTGCTCTTAAAACAAGCAAGTCTCACAGCCGGTCCCCCTGTTCCCCCTGCACTCCACCCTCCAGCAGTGATTCTTGGGGATTCTCTTCAAATTTAAGACAGATCAGCTCTTCCCTGTGCTCAAAATTCTCCAGTGCCCACCCCCTTTTGCTTATGGGCCAAGTCCTGACAAGGGATTCCCACAGCATAACTCATTGTGTGGTTCCAGGGCCTATGTCACTCGTCTGTGGTAATGTCAGGAACCAAACACAAAGGAACACTTAGAAACTTCTATAGGAATCTGGTAAGAAACTCTAATAATAAAATGTTAGGCTTTTATTTCATATGTGTTTAAAATCTCATTTTTCCAGTAATTTATTTTCATGAAATTTTACAAAAATATTAGTCTCCAATGGATGAGGACTAACAATAACAACAACAGCCACCACCAGCAGCCCGGTTCCCTCTCTGAGCACCATCCCCACTGCCAGCCCTTGCTCCTCCTGTCCCCATGCACCCCTATGCCTGACGACACTGGCTGTTTCTGCTGCACTGCCCCCAGAACCCACACCAGGGCCTCCCTTGCCTCTGCTGGGTGTCAGTGAATCTCACTTCTTCATTGAAATCTAACCTGGACCCCCTCCTTAAGATAACAACCTGACAATCATCTCACCCAGGGCTCCTCATCCCCTCACACTTTTCTAGTTTCTTTTTGGTAACAAATGTCCACTTGTAACATATTGTGTACATACAATACTTCTGTATTTGCTTTTACATGTGAAGGTAATTGCCAGGGTATATACGTATGGTGGGCAGAAGTGGAGGTGCTGCTGGAGAGAAAGAAGGAAGGACCATCCATGGAAGGAAGGGACAAAAGCTCTCTAGAGCAAATAATCCCAGATGCTTTTTCTTAGACTTGAAAGAAAGCATCTTGTGTCTTCAAAGCATGATCTTACATGCTGGAAAGCATGATAGGGAAGAAAGGCCATCCTCTTTGACAGAAAACATAGCTTTGGGTGAGCCTCAGTGGAAAAGAAGCCTGGTCATCCAGCCAAAGCTGTCCCATCCTCCATAGCCATCCTCAGGGTCCAGTCTGGCTGGCCGGCTCTCTCTAGAGCCTTTCCGTGTTAGGCAACATATCATGCTGCTCTGTAACACAGAAACAAGAGTATCTGGCCTCAAGCCAACAAATCCAAGGCCAGAGAAATAAGTTTGGCTAACCCAAGACTTAATCACAAGGGCCAAAACTCATGAGTGATCATGACAGGCAGTGAATAGGCAACAGAGGACTAATTATTTCATTTAATTCCACTAAATAGCCTCTGACAGCCTTCCTTGTTACCCTGTAACTGCCCAAAACCACTACCTGGACTGAACTATGGCTTTCTAACGGACCCTTGGACTCCCTGCGGTCTACCTCTCATCTTCTCAACTGCTTTGAGACATCTTCCTAAAACTCATATCTGATCACATCGTTTCCCTACGTGAAGATTTTTGATGGCCTCTCTGCCTGCAGGATGAGGCACACAAGGGCTTCCCAAGTGATCTTCTGTCTGCCTTTCTAGCCTGAATCTCTCTCCAGACACCTTCCAGTCTTCACAGTTATAGACACTGCTACGCCTCTGAAACAATGCACACAGTGCCAGTGCATACCGTGTGTCTCTGCCCTAGCCTATCCTACACTCAGCTTCTTTTTTTTTTTTAAGATTTTATTTATTTATTCATGGGAGACACACACACACACACAGAGAGAGAGAGAGAGAGAGAGAGAGAGAGAGAGAGAGAGAGAAGCAGAGACACAGGCAGAGGGAGAAGCAGGCTCCATGCAGGGAGCCCAATGCGGGACTCGATCCCAGGACCTAGGATCACGCCCTGAGCGGAAGGCAGGTGCTAAACCGCTGAGCCACCCAGGGATCCCCTACACTCAGCTTCTTCAGAGCATTCTCACCCCACAAGCTTGGCTCAGATATGCCTCCTCCCATGAAGAGTGCCCAATTCCCCCCTTTCTACCTCCTCCATGTTTATCGAAGTTGACAAAATACACTGTGTCAAAACTGAACATCTCAATGGCAAAACATTTTTATGTATATTTTTTTTTTGGGGGGGGGAACAAAACACAGAGCTTCCTAACTGGTAATGCCAGTGAAATCATTGTATCAGCCAAAGATAAAAAATCCTTATTGAAGACTCACCGATTCACCACTTTTAATGAAGAATCTGCTCACTACATATAAGGCTCATTTAGCAGGAACGTATATATGAAACTTTGCCATTGATCAGTGGATGTTTTAATGGCACAGAACAAAATCGCATTAAAATATTAATGCCACTGACCACTGCTTTACCATTTTAGAGCAGCTTTTATGGGAAAGGCTGTAAATCACTTCCAACATTGAGTATGGATATTGGATGTATTGCTTACTTGAAAATTTCAAGGCAAAGAAACCTCTTTTCCAGGAAGCCCATCTTTTCGTTATATACAACAGAGTGGATAAGAAGACCAAAGTCAAATTAGACTTAGTTTTTATTTCTAGGATTACATTATCACAATTATAAATTTTTCTACAGATACTGACTCTGAGCTGAAAACAACATGCAGATCTCACCTCTTTTTAAAATCAAACCTGAGTGTTATTCTCTCTTCTCACTGTCACACCCCTGTACTCAGTCATTAGCAAATTCTGCTAATTTTAATTTCTAACATTATTTTCTTCAGATCGCTGATCATGAGCCACCAGTTGAATTCCTCCTGACTTCGGGGTGCCATTGTCACCTTTTGCTGGATTACTACATCAACCTGACCCTCATCTGCCCAACCTTGCTTACACATGGAAAATCCATCATGCAGTTCCACTGACTCAGAGGCGCTCACTGCCTATCCAAGCCCTTCACAGATACCTACTGAGTGCCTCCTATAGACCAGACACTGTTAGCAGTTCCTTAATAAGACCCACAGGCATTCCTACAATAAGGTGTGGTCCCTGAATATTCACTCATCTGCTGGTCACATTTGAAGTCTTCAGTCTATGTCTTCATTCTTCTGATAAGAATGCTTCCTATTCCTTGAGCTCACCATTCTGTCCTTTGTCTCTGTCTAGAACTCCATCCCCTGTCCCAGCCAACTCAAACTCTGTGGATGCTCTAAGAGTCTAGGAGTCACTTCTCTGGAAGCTCCACTTTTCTTACCAGCTTCCTCATCCCTGTGCCCTACCACCACGTAGGTACCCCTCATCTGAATGTCTATAAAGCCCCATGTACTTTACACTTTTGTACTTTTCATATTCTGTTACTTTTTTCTGTTCTATGTCAGTTTCCTCGTTTATACCTTGAGCTCCTGAAGGCAAGGTGGGGTCTTATTCATCTTTCTATTCCCAATGTCCAGCCCAGGACATGACACCCAATAAGTAGGCAGCAAATTTGTCAAATGACCTAGACATCTTAGTAAAGATGAGAGAAGAAACAGACTGTCTTAATCCCACAACCATTTAGATTAAAATATTACAGATATCAACACACTCAGTTTATGCAAATCACATTTCTCCAGGTCGCTATGGCTCCAGAGAATGCTGGTAGCAAGTGGTGTTATTTGTAATAACTACAACCTCTTCTAACCAGAAATTCCCACAATGGTGGCCTGGACTGTCCAGTTTTCTTCCCTGATCTATGTTTTAGAACACTGTCATTTAATAAGACACTTTTTGACACAAAATTTCAAGCAGAAATATTTTATACTTTAAAGGATATTTTAGGTTATACCTCTTTATTGTATTGCATTTTAGAACTAGCTTTCTGAAAATAAGATATATTAATTTACTCGTACACATTAATAAGAAAGATTAAGAATCAATAATAAAACTCAGTTTAGAGGAAGGTAAAATATCAGAAAATTGCAGTTACAAATTGCAAAACCGATTATAACAAATGTCATAGCTTACCAAAACCCTGAAGAGGCAGCCATCCGCAATCTAGCACATGAGCCTTAAACCTTACTATAAACATCTCTGTAAGGAGGTGCTAGATAAGGAGACAAAAACCCCAAAGCAAAACCAAACCAAACTAAACCAAACCAAGAGACCCAACAGCTCAGCATTACAGTGGAAATCTTTAAGTAGCCAAGTGTTAGAAACTGTGCTGGTTTGAAGGGAATGGTCTGAAAGTGGTCCAAGAGATGGCTTTATGTGCAGAGAAACAAAGGGTAGGGAATTTCCATGGTGACTCCTGCTACTAAGGAGCCTATGCAAATTCCCAGCTTTTCTTGGCTGAGGTCTGAAATGCTCTCATCTCAAACTGGCACTGGCTGGCTATCACATTAGTTTCTTTCTGGGGCCCGTGGGACACACCTGAAGATAAGTGGTAGTTTTAAGAATGGTTCATATCCTATTCCACCTCTGGTTTTGCCTTTCACAAAGCTTTATTCACTCACTCAACAAGTAGAGAGTAAGGATCTTCTCTATAAGAAGCACTATGGAGACTTCCCTCAAAGAGCCTCCATTCCGGAACTCAATCCCATGAAGCATGTATTAGAACTGGGGAGTGCCCAGGTGAGCAGCAAAACCAAAATGCAGAGTTGATCCTACGAAACTGCCAAACATTTCTAAATTTACTTCCTTGCCCAGTTTAACTAAGCAAATATTTGCACAATAAAAAGGAACTGCCCCTCTTAACCTCAAAATGTCTTTGCTCCTGGTTCTCCCTCTGCCCCATCTCTGCCCCAACAGACCAATGTTAAATGAACAGGAGGTCTGTCAGTCATTGGGGGTGGGTGGCCACAGGCATCTGCTGAACAGGGACTCAGGACATCAGCCTTCCGTGACACAAGCGTCCTACACAACGAGCGGCTGATTCATCCTGAATGCCAACAGTCACCTTGGTGAGAAGCACTCCTGGTCTTCATATGAGCTCAACTGAATGGGGAGTCAAGTCAACAATGAGCGATGGAAGCTTCCTGGGTGCAAGTACTGAGTACTAAATGAGATAGTAAGATACAATGGCTTGTCCCCATGAAGCTTATGGCTGAACAGAGGAGTCACCAGAAGAGTCAGAATAACTGCAAAGAAAAGAACCATTGTAAAGGAGACCTCAAAGCAAAAAGACATTTCCTGTAATTTGGGAAATGTGGAAAAGGTTTATAGAGGAAATGATGTTTGAAAGGACCCGAAAAGGTGTGTAATATTAACTCAGGAAAATGGGAGAGGGGGACAGCCCTGCAGACAAAATGTTCCCACCAAGACCAGATAGGGTGGGGAGATTTTATTTTCTGAAACAAGCACACAAACAAATACCAAAATAAAAAAACAAGCTCAAAACAAAACAAAACAAACAAACAACAACAACAAAAAAAAACCCAAGCTCACAGACACAGAGAACAGATCGGTAGTTGCCAGAGCTGGGCTGGGGGAGGGGGGAGCACAAAATGGGTCAAGCAGGTAAAAAGGTACAAGTGCCAGGTATGAAACAGTCCTAGGGGATGTAAGGTACGGCATGGCAACTGTAGTTAACAGCACTGCAAAGCATATTTGAAAGTTACTAAGAGACTAAATTTTTTTTAAAAGATTTCATTTATTTATTTATTTGACAGAGAGAGAGCACAAACAGGGCAGTAGGGCAGAGGGAGAAGCAGACTCCTCGCTGAGCAGGGAGCCCGATGCAGGAGTCGATCTAGGACCCTAAGATCATGATCTGAGCTGAAGGCAGATGCTTAATGGACTAAGTCACCCAGGCACCCCTATGAGAGTACATCTTAAAGGTTCATATCACAGGAGAAAAAATTTCTGTAACTATTTGGTGACAGATGTTAACCAGATGCACTGAGGTGATTATTTCACAATATATATAAACATCAAATTGTTGTGTGATACACCCAAAACTTACACAATGTCGTATGTCCATTATACCTCAATCAAACAAAGTCATCTCCCAAACAAGATGGTAGGACAGGATGTATGGGGAGAATCCTCTCTTTGTTGGGAAGCCTTTCATGATACTTTGTTGGTAAGTATCATGAAAGACACATCTGAGTCTGCAGGGCCTGACATGGAGCAGAGTTATTCTGTGTCAACCAAGAGGAAGGATTTGCTTGTTGCTCCAGAGATGGAGGAAAAAGGAAATAAAAGAAGTGAAATCAGCACCAAACAAGACGTTTTCAACTGAATGAAAAGAACCAAGGAAAATAACTGGCAGCCAAGCCTAGAAAACAAGACATAGGAAAATTTCTTTGTTGTTCCTGAAAATTCTGTCTGTTTCTAATAGTTTTTCTGTTTGCCTCTCAAGTTACTGATTTTTTTTTAATTTAGTAAGCCATCCTCAAGTCAGCAGCAGTAACATCATCATCGAAGACAGTTGGCCCTCAGCTCCTGCACTAATGCTGCTACAAACGGACAGTGCCTCCCCTTTTTACCTGCCTCGAAGTCCATGTGGCTCTAGGGAAAAAACAATTAAATTCTCCATCTCGTTGACAGATACCCCAGTGTACTGAGCACAGGGCTCCTAAAAAATGGGAAATCCAGTAAGTGGCTGTATAAGAGACAGCTTATTCCATTGAAAATCAGATTGGAGGGAGTCTTATCAAAGCCAAATCTCTGTCTACATAAAATATGGTGCCCTCGAGTTTAAGTTTTATTGCCTGAGTGCTGCATCAATGCAATAAAAGCTTATGATACTCTGCTTTCCATGCAATAAATATCCACTTTAGCAAATTGGAAGGTAGAAGGAAACCAGGTTCTCCAGAGTGTGAATACCTATAACCCCACGTTCAGGGTGGTACATGTACAAACCCTCAGCGGGCTCTGGCTTGGCAGCCCCAGGGCAGCCCATCTGCAGCTGCCTTGTGAGACCTGGCACTTCTGAGAAGGAAACCTGGACGTCAAGACTCAGTCGCCGTTGGAAGCTATACCCCCTGGCCTCTCTTCCCTTCACATCTTTCCCGAACAATCACACAGAGACGGTGATAGGTTTGTAAAGGCTCCGTGACCACATGAACGAGTAAGTCTTGCTACTTTCTTGTCATTGAGATAAAAACAAGTCACCTTCAAGATGTGATGAGTGGCCTGGGATCCCACTCACAAGCCAGGCTGCCCTCCCGCGCACAAAGGGATGGCCACGGGCAGGAATGTGAGGGGCTGGTGAGCTGTCACACACATAGAACACATACACACCATCACACACTCATACCTCTCCCTTGCACATGTTCAAGAGGAGCTGCTGGAATCCAGAGAAACAGTGATTTACAAAGTCAGCCCATCTGTAATCCTGCACAAGCACTGAGGGGCAAATCTGTGGCTGGAGGGACACTTCCTAGCTCTTCCCCCCCTGGCAGGTTAATGACAAGCTATCTCTCAAGCACAACTGGTTTCAGGGAAGGGCCATACCGAGAGGGTCCTGGTTACAAAAGGGGGCCAGGCGGTGGGAAAAGTAGGTTGCTTACCTCCTCTCCTGCCTCGATGTCTCGGACTGCTCGCAGTAAGAGGTGGGGCCCGTTGAACACAATGGAGCAATTGGGGTCACAGCTGTGATTGAGCAAAGACATACTGGAGGAAAGAGAGAAGGGGGTACTGTCACTCAGCAGATAGTCAGACACCTAAAGCCAATGAATATAGTGAGCAAAAGACACTTTAGCACGGTGGGGGCAGGGAGGAGCAGATAAGGTCAGCAGTGCACTAGGGAGATCCCAGAAACGTCCCTAGACCACATGGCATGAAGCAAAATGCCCCCCAAAATGAGGCCACGTAGGGAAGTGTGTTAACAAAAATATTTTCTGAGATCTCCCTGGAGATGAAGATGGGAGACAGCTGTGCCTTTCAATGGCAGCCAGGACACCTGGGGCCCTTCTCACGCAGCTCTGTGCAGGCCTTGCCTCCTGTGCTGGGATACCCAGAGCCAGGCCAAGGGCTAAGGAGAGTCCCCCCTCTCACTCTCACACAGAAAGCCAATGGCATTAGCATCTTGACGCTGGAGTGTCTAGGGCCCCCACCTGGTTGTTTTAGTACCAGGGAGGCTGCACCTCTATACTTCACTGTGTAGAAAGCACTTTCTTTGCCCTTGCACACGTATATCACCACATGAGTCTCACGAGGGGCATTTACAGACAAAACAATTGCCACGTGCAGGGAAGTAGCTGGCCCAGGACGCACAGCTGGGAGTGCACTGAATCGGAACCAGGTGCTGTGAACCCTGGGCCCCTCTGTGCCAGTGCACCCTGAGGACCCAGAACAATATACCAGTGATTCACAACCCTTGTGAGAAGAAAGAAAAGAAGCCAAATTCTCAGTTTCACAGTTAATTATAAAAAAGGGCTATATTTGTATTTGCACCTTAACAGCGGTGAAAACAAAATGAAATGAGTGACTGCGGTGTTTGTGGAGGGACAGCCTGGCAGCTCAGGGGATGAGGTCACCTCAGCGGCAGTGGCACAGAGCACTTCAGAAGGCCAACCTTGAAAGTTGGAGCTTGGAGTTGAGCACAGGGCTCAACTTAGTTGGAGCTAAGCCAAAAGACAAAATCAACCCAACTGGTGCTTCTGCCCAAAAGGCTGGGGGAAAAGATCAGGGCAAGGATGGGGCACTAAACAAACATTTTCTAAAGATGATTTATTTATTTATTTGAGAGAGGGAGAGAGAGCACAAGCTGGGCGGGGAGGGGCAGAAGGAGAAGCAGACTCCCCACTGAGTAGGGAGCCCGATATGGGGCTCGATCCCAGGACCCTGGACTCATGACTTGAACCCAAGGCAGATGCTTCACCGACTGAACCACTCAGACACCCCAAGGTAATAACCAAATTTTATTAGCACCCACAAACCCCAACTTCTTTTCCTGAGAGCAAGAATTTAGGTCTGAGGTCTGCCTCTCTGCTCATACCACAGCATATACCACGGGGCTATAAAATTCTTTTCTTTAAACTTAACATTTTCTGCTTTCTCATAATTTGTCATTAGGTTCCAAGCATTGCTCATGAGCCAGCAGCTGTAATCGCCTTTCTGACACCTTCTACGAGGTCAGAGAGCCAGGTGAATTATAGTTGTTTCTTCGAGTAAATGAAATACTGTTCGCCATACCTAGGATAGAGGCCAACACCAACTTCCTGCATCTCCGCATTACAGATGGTGAAAGCATTGCAGATCACCTGTAAAAACAAGGGAAAGACCATTGGGATTACCAGAGTCACCTAAGAAATGTTGCAGGCAGAAGACAGAGATTTTCAAAATCAAATGGAGCACTTTCAATACTTTTTGTAGCTGCTTTGGAAAGATCCAAGCCAAACAGGGATGCTCTTTCATTTGCAAAAGAATGTATCTGGGACAGGCTTCCCTGAAGAAGGGCAGGTTAAGTGCATTAATACCAACATCCTGTACAAAAATTTAGGCTTAAACCAGCACAAGGCATTAATTTCAATCTAATCCCCTCCCCCCAGCCCCTAAATTACTCAGTTCCAAGCCAGGTTCAAGTTTCAAAATACAAATAATCTATTTGTGAGAACTAGAGACTCCTACCACATTGGATTTTTTCCCTCTCAAACTACCTGCAGTTTCCAAATGCCACTGTGTATCTGATAAGGAACAGCAGCAGCCTGTCAAATGTCACACGTGAATAAGTGCTAAGAAAGAAAGGTAAAGGCACAGAGGAAAAAGTGCTCAGGAAAGCTCTGGAGCATAAGATGACATTTAAGCAGAGACCCAAGAAGCTGTGGAAATGAACATGTGTATATTGAGGTCATGCATGTTCCTGTCAGGAGAAAGCACAAGTGCAAAGGCCCTGAGGTGTGAATATTCTTAGGTACAGAGTAACAGCAAGAAAGTTAGTGTGGGCAAAGCAGGGTAAGGGAGAAGAAGAGGGGTAAAATATGAGATCAGAGTGGCAGTTAGATCATACAGGCGCTTAGAGCCATGTCTAAATTTTATTCTAAATGAGACAGAAAGCTACTGGGGTGCTTCTGAGTCAAGGCATGACTGGATCAGTTTCTGTTTGGAAAGGATTACTCTGGCTATTGTGTAGAGAATGGGCTATAGAAAGGCAAGGGTGATGGAGAGGGAATGAAAAGCCCAGATGAGACTGAGGCATGGATTCTGGTAGTGGAAGTGGGGAGAAGGCAGTGGTGCTGCCAACAGGATTTACCCGATGGCCTGCCCCCAGGGGAATGGAAAGAGTCAAGGATAAGGTTTGCACTTGGGCCTACACAGGCGTGCCTATGGTTGCCATCATGAACATGAGCAAGACTGTAAGAGGAACAGGCCCGGTTGCAGGGAGTTGGAAGAAGTCCAGGGGCTGTTTTAAGCCATATTAAATTTGAAATGTCCCATTAGACATTTCAGCCAACATGAAGCATGAGTGCTTGGAGTTCAATGCAGCAGCTGGGCTGGAGATAGACACTTAGAACAAAACAGAACAAAGCCCATCAAGAAGAAAGTAGGAGAGGCCACCACAGACTTGAGATGAACTATGAGTGGATGCTGACTTATTGTTAAAAGTTTCTGTAAAGGAGAAAAAAAAAGGAGAAAAAAATTTGTGACAACGAATTTCTCTAAATCAGCTTTATATGAAAGAACATAAAGTATGAAAAAGCATTCATTCCTGAGACTCTTCCACCACTCTAAAGAGCGCTTTTATGAAATCTAGTACAAACTATCACGATTTGGCATTTCCTCTAAAAGTCTGATAAAACTACAGTTTTGAATCGGGAAATAAGTTGGTGTACACACATATTTTAAACACACACTAGTTAAACTGCTTTAAGAGCATGTGGTTCCTATTAAGTTGCAACAGTGCACTGCCTATACATATTTATGTATAAAATGGATGGTGGAAATCTAGGACAAAAGATCCTGTGTTTTCTTTTAGGAATTCTAAAATGTCTAAACATTTTTAAACGGGTATGAATTTGGGGGTGAGGAATAACAAATTTTAGCATGTATTTTTAAAGTGTGATCAGGACTTTACCAAAATTAATCCACCAATGAAAAATTGGATCAAACCAATCTAATTTGTTAACTTTTGAATCAAACCAAAATGCAAACATTTTTGCTCCACTATGAAGCAAATTAAAGGTTTTTCCAAAATAGATTTATTCTGACAGAATTTTTAAAAAGAAAGAGCTAACAGGGGGAAATGTGAGCTTGGCTAGGTCTTCCTCCAGGAAACTTTTCCCAATCCCACATACTTGGCTGACTTACATCTTGTTAGCAGCATTTATCATCCTGGATTATTATCTACCCGTTTACTTGACACTAAAACCAACTCCAGTGTAAAATACTGAGAGGGCAGAGATGGTGGCTGCCTATGGAAAGACACTAATACAGGTTTTTCTGAGAGGTGGATGGTTGTGTGGGTGTGGTCCTCAGGGTCCCCAGGGGGTCCCAATCTAGGACAGGGTCAGAGAAGAAGCCAGAAGTAAGTCACAGGTACCCTGCAGGTGTGGAAGAGGAGAGACGGATGTGGTTCCACACTCTGACAAGGAGTAAGAAGTTAATCATCCATCTCTCTTGTCGCTAGGCATCCAATCTGTTGAGATCCTTGCTCAGATCTCTTTGCCCATTCTCTCTCTCCACTCTGGCTCATCTTTTGTTTCAAACTCTCTTCCATTAGTCCAATGGATGGGACGACAGGCTCAGGCCTGAGAAGAGCATAAGGGCTTCTTATTGGTCCTCTGCTTAAAATGCCAGGAGCCTGGGGCACCTGGGTGGCTCAGTCGGTTAAACGACCAACTCCTGATTTTCAGCTCAGGTCATGATCTCAGGATCATGAGATGGAGCCCCATGATAGGCTCCACTGGGTAGGAAGTTCGCTGGGGAGTCTCTCTTTCCCTCTCTCTCTGCCCCTCCCATGCACTCTCGCCCCCCACCCCCAATCAACACATGCAAAAATATGCCCAGGGGCTTGATACATGGGGCACAAAATTAATATGTGCAAAATGAATGAATGAGTGAGCAAGAGTCCCCATACCCCTTGCCTTCCCTCCCACTTTTCTGGCATCTTTTCCTTTGTTAATTTTTCTCCCTTCTTTTCCTTCTCCTGTTTTCACTGGTACCTGTCAGCTACTCTCTCCTTCTGCCCTACTCCACAAAATAGGTACAATTTTTTTAAAGATTTTTATTTATTTATTCATGAGAGAGACGGTGAGAGGCAAAGTCTTAGACAGAGGGAGAAGCATGCTCCCCACAGGGAGCCTGTTGTGGGACTCCATCCTGGGATTCTGAGACCAGGACCTGAGCCAAAGGCAGACTCAACCACTGAGCCACCCAAGATTCCTAGGTAGGATGTTTTTAAGTCCTACTGCACCAATTCCAGACAAGTTCCTCATTCATATTATCCTGAGAGGTGTTTTGTGTGAGTATTCCTGAGCCAGTAACTTTGTGCCTACTCCCACTTTTACTAAAAATACTGGTTTCACTCACTAGTATATCCATATGTGCTCAAGTAAAAATCTGAAAGGAATTCCTCTTTATACCAAGAAATAAAAGAATGGAAATAAAGCCCAGAAATAAAAGTTTAAATACTTTCCAAAGTATTTCCTTGTATAAACAATTTTCTTGGAAAATTGCGCAGGTTAAACAATGAATGCTGACTTCACACAGATGTCTTTAGAAAAGCATATTAATGGGATTATTTCAGTTAAAAAAATTCTTTATAAAAACTAAGTTGGAGTATTATGGAGTATTACTTTAAAATATTTCCCATGACATAAAACTAAAATATACATTTAAGTTATTTTATAATTATTGGATATAGTTATGTATATTCTTCACAATATTTCTTTTGAAAAAAAATCAAAAGCCTTAAATTAACAAGACAGGAAACAACAAATGTTGGAGAGGATGTGGAGAAAGGGGAACCCTCTTGCACTGTTGGTGTGAATGTGAACTGGTACACCCACTCTGGAAAACTATGTAGAGGTTCCTCAAAGAGTTAAAAATAAAGCTACCCTATAACCCAGCAATTGCACTACTGGGGATTTACCCCAAAGATACAGATGCAGTGAAAAGCCGAAACACCTGCACCCCAATGTTTATAGCAGCAATGTCCACAATAGCCAAACTGTAAAAGGAGCCTCGGTGTCCATTGAAGGTTAAATGGATAAAGAAGATGTGGTCTATATATACAATGGAATATTACTCAACTATTAGAAATGATGAATACCCACCATTTGCTTCAATGTGGATGGAACTGGAGGGTATTATGCTGAGTGAATTAAGTCAATCGGAGAAGGACAATCATTATATGGTTTCACTCATACAGGGAATATAAAAAATAGTGAAAGGGATTATAGGGGAAAGGAGAGAAAATGAGTGAGAAAAATCAGAGAGGGTGACAAAACATGAGAGACTTCTAACTCTGGGAAACAAATAAGGGGTAGTGGAAGGGGAGGTGGGCGGGCGGATGGGGTAACTGGGTGATGGGCACTGAGGGGGGCACTTGATGGGATGAGCACTGGGTGTTATACTATATGCTGGCAAATAGAACTCCAATAAAAAATACACACAAAAAAATCAAAAGCCTTTATAATCTAACACTGTAGTCTTTCTGGATAGTAAAATTCTAGTGAGTTAGAACAAGTGATTGTTGAACCTCTGTATTTTGTAAAAACAACTAATGTAAAATTTTAAATAATCTATGAAACATGATAAAAACCCTTAACAAAGTGGGTTTATAGGAAACATCCTCAACATAATAAAAGCCATGTATGAAAAACACACAGCTAACATCATACTTAATAGTGGAAAACAGCTTTTTCCCTAAGGTCAGGAACTAGAAAAGGATGTCTACTCTCACCACTTTTATTTGGCATAGAGTACTGGAAGTACCAGTCACAGCAATCAGACAAGAAAAAGAAATAAAAGGTATCAAAATTGGTAAGGAAGAAATAGAACTTCCACTATTTACAGATGATATAATGCTATTTATAGAAAACCCTAAAGATTTCACCAAAAAACTATCAGAACTGATAAATTAATTCAGAAAGGTTGTAAGATACAAAACCAATATACAGAAATCCATTACATTTCTATACACTAATAATGAAGTGGGAGAAAGAGGAATTTGGAAAACAATCACATTTATAATTGCACCAAAAAGAATAAAATGCCTAGGAATAAACTTAACCAAAAAGGTGAAAGACCTGTACTTTGAGAA